AATAGAAATGCAATTTTCCCATATGGATAATAATTGTTATAGTTCCTTTTATTGAGTTGTCCATCTGTTCCCTTTGTCATACATATTTCCACATATGCAAGTAGCTGTTTCTGAGTTTTCATCAATTCCACTATTGTTTTTATTTTATTTTATAGTATTGTATTGTATTGCATTGTATTGCATTGTATTGCATTGTATTGCATTGTATTGCATTGTATTGCATTGTATTGCATTGTATTGTGTATTTTGTCCTAATAGCACCCTGCCTTAATTACTATGGCTCTATAATATATCTTAATATCTGTTAGGGTGTCTCTCTCACATTGTCCTTAAAAGTCTTGGCTTCTTTGGCCCTTAGCCTTTCCATACAAATTTTAGGATCAATTTCTCAAGTTCTACCCACTCACACATATACAAAAAGAAATCTATTGGGATTTTAATAGAAAATATAGATTAATTTTGTGAGAATTATATCTTTATGATATTGCATTTCCCATCCATGAAAATGGACTATCTGTGTATTTAGATATTCTTTGATGACTTTCAACAGTTTCAAAAATTTTTCCTCAAATATATTACAGATCTTTGTTTTATGCCTAGTAAACTCATATTTTGTTTAAGCAATTGTTTTTGAAACCTAGTTAATGGCCTTCTTCTGAAAATGGATCCTACTGTCTTCTCTTTCACTTGAATCTAACCTAGAGAGGGTTTAACTTTTTATTTTGAAATTTTGTTTACCCTTTACCCAGATTCAGCAAATATGAACATTTTGCTACACATGCTTTCTATCTCTTTATATTTGTGCATACATGTATGTATCTCTATGTGTATATACACATACATATATATACACATTTTATACATGCATGCATACATATACACATGCATGTGTACATATGTACATATACATACATACTTTTTTCTAAACACTGATCATCAACCCCTCACATCAGAAGGGTTAGTTTATCCCACTAATGGGATAATGTTTATTCCACTAATGGTTAGTTAACTTTGACAACATGGCTAAAGTGGTATCTGCTAGATTTATCCACTGTAAAGTAACCACTTAATTCTTTGTAATTAATAAAGAATCTTTTGGGAGAAATTTGAGGCTATGTATTCAAATTTCCATCAGCTAGTTTTATTTTGTTTTGTTTTTCCTTTATTATTTTTATTGTGGTAAAACATATATAACATAAAATTTACCATTTTAGGGACTATATCAAACTAAAAAGCCTCTGCACAGCAAAAGAAACATCAACAAGGTAAAGAGACAATCATCAGAATAGGAGAAGATATTTGCAAGCCAACGCCTCTGATAAGGGCCTAATATCCAAAATATACAAAGAACTCATACAACTCAATAACAACAACAACAAAAATCCAATTAAAAATGGGCAGAGGACTTGAACAGACACTTCTCTCAAGAAGACATACAAATGGCCAACAAACATATGAAAGGATGCCCAACATTGCTAGCTATTAGAGATATGCAAATCAAAACCACAATGAGATACCATCTCACACCTGTTAGATTAGCTGTTATCAACAAGACAAGTAATAACATATGTTGGAGAGGATGCAGAGAAAAAGGAACCCTCATACACTGCTCGTGGGATTGCAAATTGGTACAGCCACTATGGAAAACAGCATGGAGGTTCCTCAAAAAACTAAGAATTGATCTACCATATGATCCAGCAACCCCTCTACTGGGTATTTACCCCAAAGACTTGAAAACATATAACCGAAAACATGTAACACTGATGTTCATAGCAGCATTATTCACAGTGGCCAGGATATGGAAGCAACCGAAGTGTCCTACAATAGATGATTGGATAAAGATGATGTGGTACATATATACTCACCCAAAGAAGAGATGATATACTGCCATTTGCAAAAACATGGTTGGACCTTGAGATAATCATGCTAAGCAAAATAAGCCAGACAGAAAAAGTTGAAAACCAAATGATATCACTTATATGTGGGATATAAACCTAAAAGCAACAAACGAACAAGACAAACAAACAGAGACTCGTGGACATGGACAATAGACTAGTGGTCACCAGAGCGTAGGTGGGGAAGGGGGAGGTAGATGAGGTAAAAGGGGTCAGATATGTGGCTACAGAAAGAAATCTAACTATGGGCAGTGAACACACAATGCAATATATATATATATATATATATATGCCTTGCTGTTAAATTGTACACCTGAAACTTACTGGATTTCATTAACCAATGTCATCATGATAAATTTTTTTTAATTAAAAAAGAAATTTACCATTTTAATCATTTTTTTATAACTTATACCTACAGCACCTGGTCTTCTTAGGTGGTCTCCCATCCAAGTACTAACCAGGCCCTGCTTAGCTTCTGAGAACAGACATTGGGTTTGTTCAGGGTGGCATGGCCACAGACCATGGACTGTGGCTCCACTGAGTTGTGAACCCAGGACCTTCTGTGTGTAAAGCAGACGTGCTAACCGCTACACTACGGAACCACGCCCCCATTTTAACCATTTTTAAGTGTACAATTCAGTGTCATTCAGCACATTCACATTATTGTGCCACCATCGCCACCATCCATCTGCAGAACTTTTCCCCAGCTTTTAAGATAGAAGCGACATAAAACATTAAGTTTAAAGTGTACAGCACATTGGTTTGATACTTTTACATACTGCAGAATGACTACCATCATAGTTAGCTAACATCTCCATCATGCCATCAATTTTTAACATCCACTGATAATTTTTGCCTGAATCTATTAACTATAATGATTGCAAACAATTATTTGTTGGCATTCTACTGTAAAGAAGTTTCCCTTTTATGGAAGAAACTTTCCCATTTCTGTGTCTTTATTTATCATAAGCATGGATGCTCATGAATTTTTATTTTACTTAATGCGTAGCCCTTATTGTCCTATTCATTTGAGACACCGTTGTTCAGCCGGTAGGACTCCCCACCATTCAATTTGGCTCCTGTGTTCTTTTGACACATCCTCATCATTTTGTGAGCATTTTTTGGCATAAAAGATGTTCCATAGTCTCCTTGTATTTTCCCAGTCCTAGCCTGGAATCAGAAAATTCTCCAAGGAGCCCTGGGTCCTGCTTTTAGAGAGGAATAGTATTTAGAGACCAACGTCAGGGCTCTAAGGAATTTTAAGGAAAACGTTCTGAGCTGGGGGCCTTTGGTGCACTCTGGCCACTAGGGGGCAGCACGTCTCAAAAAAAAAAAAAAAAAAAAACCAAAAACAAAAACAAAAACAACGCAAAAAACTCAGAATCTGGGTTGGGTTCGGCTGAGCTGGCCAGGCTTCCTGATGGAAGTGTTTCTAGTCCTGTTTCCGAAGAAGAGGAACACAAGCTCCCCACTATATGCTCACCACCACCCCATGTACATACAGACACCCTCATCCTCGTCCAGACTCCCCCACCAGTACATGACTCACCCTACCCTCACCAATTTATTCGTATCTTTTTTTCTGAAGTCGTCCAAGAGGGGTTAGCTCTAAGGCAGAGAGCAAGAGGGGATGGATATGAAGCTTCAGGCAGGCCCTGATCTCTCATCCCCAGCCCACCCCACCCTACTGCCAGCACAACGCAAACACAGCTGTGGGTAACGAGCATGGAGAGACCCCTCCCCCAGTATACCTCTACTCCTAGAACACAGTCTCTCCTGTTAACCGTTCTTCTGGGCCTCAGGCTACAGCTGACTCCTTCCCTCTAGGCATGGTAGGAAGGGAACGCAGAGGGGAGGGTTTGTGCAGGTGAGCTTGGAGCCTAAACTCTGAGCTCCCACCTGCTTCTCTCTGCTGTCTCCACCCACACCTTGAAAAGGTCAAAGGAAGTCATGGGGGTAATCTATTCCCTCAGTTTATATTCCCACAAGTAAACTATAATATTTTTAAAAATGAACACAAAACCAAAAAAAAAAAAAACCCACCAAGGGGAGTATTTTAGCAACTTAAATTTATGGTTCGACTACTTTAGAAGCAAGCATTTACAAGTGAGTATACACTTCTGCTCATAGGAATTACGTACCATTAATTATCGTATTTCTCCTCCCCTCATGAAGGAGTTTCACCCAGGCCTGGCAGAGTATGCCATCAGTAAATGCTGACTCTATCAATTCTTCTCTACCCTCTCCCATTCTCCTGCCAGGACTGGTGCAATAGGCTCCTGATCCTCGTCTCCAGTCCTACTGCTTCCCAGCCAGAGCTAGCCAGATCACTCACCATCTTTCTGTAGCCTTCCTCACCTGCAGAGCAAAATCCAGCCTCTCAGCTAGCACCTTTGTGATCCTCCCCACTCCTCTAAACTGCTCCCCACCCTAAGGCTCCAGTAACTCTGAGCTCCCGGGTTTTTCTCCCAAACCCACCCAGTGCCCTTTCTACACCTCTGTTCACACAGCTGCTTCTGCTTAAACTGACCTACCCCTCCTACCTCCCATAATATAGAGCAGTAACCCCATAATATTCCCTAGCTCCTATAATGATGCCTCCTTCTCTTCTCACTTGGAATGAGCTCCCTGCCTTCTCTGATCAAATTCTCCCCACCTTTCAATCAAGACCTTTCTTCTGGCCTCCCCCCATTGACCTAGGACAGCTCTTAGCTCCCTCCCTGGGCTCTGAGGTCAGGGCCAGCAAAGGGTGGACACACGGAGTGGAAGTAGAAAGGGATAAGAAATTATGACTGACCAGGCTGCCAGCCCATGCTTCTCAAATTTTAACGTAAATATAAATCACTTGGGGAGATAACAAAAAAAAAACAGATTCTGACTCTGTGGTCTGGGGATGGGCTGAGAGCCTGCATCATTTCTAACAAGCTCCAGGTGATGCCCATGCTGTAGCAGAGGGTGGGCACTTTGAGCACTAGGGGCCTCGCCAACTAAATTGTTGGGGAAGGGAAGCAGGTGGGAGCCCAGGTGTGAATGGCCATCATCCAGGGTATAAGACAGCGAGTGGTGGCTGCCTAGCAGTTACCAGTGGGAGTGTTTGCAGGCATCATGGCACTGCGCTATGGGCTTTTCATCTGCCTTCTGCTCTGGGGAGGAACAGAACTGTGCTACCCCCAGCCCCTCTGGCAGGGTGGGGCCCACCGCTTCCTTCCCTCTAAGCCACCCCTAGTGGTGGAGTGTCTGGAGGCTCAGCTTGTGGTCACTGTCAGCAAAGACCTTTTTGGCACTGGGAAACTCATCAGGCCTACAGACCTCACCCTGGGCCCTGAGGGCTGTGAGCCCCTGGCCTCTATGGACACAGATGATGTGGTCACATTTGAGGTCGGGCTACACGAATGTGGCAACACCGTGCAGGTGAGGCTTAGGTCTCCTTGGTGGTCTTGGCTTTGTTGGGAGGACATGGGAGATGGCCAGTGGTGGGGAGTGTGGATGCAGAGCCGGTGTGAGGGGGGTCTAGGGCAGCTGGCTTTTACTTGTGGGGTAGAATGGTGGAGCAGCTGAGGCTCGAAGCTGGGGATCAGTATGGGGTGAGTTGGAGGAAGCTCTTGGATCTAGTTGCTGAAGTTAGTCCGGAGAGGCAGTGAACTTTGGCCCAGACCCCCATTCTGATTCCTGAGGACTTAAACCTCTGGAGATCATCCAAGAGTGATGTGGCCCAAGGGGGATGTGAGGATAACCCTGAAGGTGGCCTGGCACTTGCTGGGGGCCCTAGAAACTTGTGTGAAAGAGATCAACTTTGACACCTCAAAGCCCAGAAGTAATCGCCCCAGGAATACAGAATTTTGGCCTCTCAGTTGGGATTAATAGTTTAAAGCCTTGAACTAAAAGTAGTCAATCAAGGACAATAGGACCACCTCTGTTGAAGTTCTTAAAGACTCACAGGGCCCCTGGAGGCAGCCTCAAGTTGGAGGTGCTTAAGGTGGGAGGTGTGTGCAGGAGGAGAGCTGAGTAGTCCAGCCAGACCACTTCCCTCAAGTTGGGGGAGAGACATACAGTGAGTCCTCACTTAACGTTGTTGATAGGTTCTGTGACTTTAAGCAAAATGATGTATGGTGAAACCAATTTCACCGTAGGCTAACTGATACAAATGAGAGTAAGTTTCTAGGCCATTCATCAGTGTTACAACGAAATTGCTATACTCGGACTACAAAGAGGGGGCCTTCCAGCAAGGCAGGGCTGGCCTGGGCACAGGTCCCTAGCTGGTCCATAATCCCCTAGACCGACTTCTTGCTGCCCCACAGAGAACCTGTCTTCTCATCTATTATGGGGCCCCCCGCTCTTGCCCACCTGGCTGTGGACTCAAATCTCAGTAGTTTGGCTGGGACCCAATGAGCCTAGTCCCTGGAGCCCTCCACCAAAGTTCTGGTCTTAGGTGTGGCTCCCAAGGTTTACCTTGAGGCTCTTGGCCCCTTGTATCCCTGGGGAGAAGCGGGGCCAGAGAGGTGCAGGAGTTATTCAGGGAATTATTCTAGCTTAGTAAATCTCAAATCTTGTGCATTAGACTCAGCTGAGGGCTTTTAAAAATCCTGATGCCCATATCCTAAACCAAGTCCGAATAGAAGTGGGAGCCATTAACAGCTTTAAGATCTCAAGCGACTCCAACTAGCCTGGCAACTCCTTTTCCAGTGCACTGCTTTCCACGGTTTGTTTCCCAATCTTACCTGACGAGAGTCACCTGCGGCCAGGGCTGTGCAAGCCCACATTTGGTTTAATGCTCTGTTGTCCTGAAATTCTTAACTTTTGAACACTTCTATTTTGCACTAGGCCCCACAAAGTATGCAGCTGGTCCATTTGCGGCACTCAATAAAAAGCTAGGACTCTTTTCCCCAGACCCAGACTGAGGGGTTAGGCCGGGCCAGGATTCTTCCTGGGCAACTTGCTTGGAAGGTACAAATTGTCCTGGTAGCACCTGCCTTCCTGCTTCAGGCAACCACTGAACCGAATCCGCTTTCTGTGAGTGGGCTTGAGAATAAGTCAGAGGGAGAGCAACAAAAGTGTTTACTGCTGTGGCAATGAGTTAAAATTCCTCGAGCTTCCTGGCTTCATCTTGGGGGATTTCTTGGCCCCAGGCCTCCCCTGAAAGAGGAAACTATTGGGGTAGAGGTTGCAGCCTGAGCAGAAGAGCACATGCCCAACGCCTCTGGCACCTGTTTGGTGCTTGATACAGCTGAGTCAGACCTCTGCACTGCTGTCAACACTTCAAGGGTGAAAAAAACGGAGGTGTGAGGGTGGTACCTGTCCGAGTTCTCCTGGAGGTCAATAGAAAGTGGGCTTTGTTCTCTCCATCCCCTGTGGGCTGCCCTCCCTTTGCCCTTGCATGGGTCAGGCCCACCTCTGGCAGGTGAAGGTCCTGGGGTTGACGCCTCTTCTTTCCTTCAGGTAACAGAGGATGCTCTGGTATACAGCACCTTCCTGCTGCACAACCCCCGCCCTGTGGGAAACCTGTCCATCCTGAGGACTAATTTTGCAGAGGTGCCCATCAAATGCCTTTTCCCCAGGTCAGTGTGGAACGGGCCTGTCTCTGCTCCTGCTACAGAGGCCCCTTGGCAAGCTTTTCAGCCCCTTGGCAACATCTGGCAGCATGGCAGCAAGAAGGCAGAAGTGCTTGGGTTGTGGTCACTGCCTTCAGCCCTGGGTAGGGTAGGGGACCTGCTAAGTCTACTCTGCCTCTGAAATGCATCCGGGCCACAGCTGCCTCATGGTGGAAGCTGCAGGCTGCCCAGCCCAGGCCCCCTCAGAGTTCAGAATACTTTTAATAGCGTAGGGAGATGTCTCAAGCTCTGAGCACCACAACCTGCTCTTTACCTATGGTTTCCCCCAGTACATGAGTGTGGGTTGGGGAAGCTCCTCAAGCCCCAAGCACCAAGCAGTGCCTGTGACTGGCTTATAACAATGCTGAGTCCTGTGCTGGGCTGAAGGCCTTAATTCCTGTCCCTTCCTCTAGGAGCAGGTAAGGGAGATAGTGCTGGTACCATGAGGGCACAAGGGATGAGCCACATGCTTGGGGAGGGGTTAAGGGAGAGGTTCCAAGAATAAGATCGGGGAGGTGGTCTTGGGACAAGTAGAGCTAAGAGAATCTGGGCAGAGCCACATACACCCCATGGGAGGGCAGTGTGCCCCTAGTAGTGGCTGCAGCCTGGGGCCTGGAGCCTAAGGCCTAATAAGGGGAGGACAGATGGGTTCTAAAGGCCAACAGATGCAGCGAATGTGTTCAGGCTCACACTTTAGCAGGCGCCCCTCTGTGAGCACCAAGCAGATTGGGTGAGGATGGCTTCTCAATCCAGAAGTTCCCTGGTAGCTGATATGAGAGACAGATGGGAGTTAGACCAGCTGGGAGACTGGGATGAGATAAGACCTGATCTGTGGCAGCAGGACTGTAGGGGGCTGACTTGAGGCAGCAAAGGTGAGCTGGATGAGCTTGGTGCCTGACCATGCAGGGGCGACGGAGGAGCCAAGGGCAGGACTCTAGCATGCCCCCCAATAGGCCAGAGATGGAAGCCTTCCTGGGACCACAGTCATTTCCACTTTAGAATTGCTCTGCCTGGGACTGACCTGAGAATGTTGGCTCACCAGGCCTAATAGCTGCAGACAGTGCAAGGTGGCCTGCCAAAGGCAAGGACACTTTAACCTAGCTCCCGCTACCTGAGGCCTGGTTCTCAGGTGCAGCACTCAAAGTAGCTTCTCCCGTGGGATCCCATGGGGTCAGCAGGGCAGACATCTGGAGACACCTGACTACTTCCAGGGACCTTCCTGTCCTAATACAGGCTCAGAGTATCTCACTGGTTTCTCAAGAACCGGAGTCTAACTGCATTTATCTCTAAAGGACTTCTTTCACTAGGACTGGCCTCAAGAATCTTGAGTGGTGCAGAGAGGGACTGCTGCCTCAAATCTCAAACAGGAGCTGCTAGAATGAACCTTAAGGATGTGGGTTTAGAAACCAAACTAACTTGGTCTGTCTTCATGCTGTAGTCCAAATATCTTCATGGCTGGGAGCAGTGAGCCCACTGACAGGTGTCAAGTTTGAGAGGTTAAGGGACAGGCTCAGACTTCATGTGTCTGTTCAGCTGCTTTGACTGTCTGCCTGGCTGGATCACAGCTGAGGACTCTGCAATGAAATAGAGTGCCCCCCCCTCCAATATGGGGCCAGATGAGGTGAGCCCCAGGCCAGGTGTGGACAGCTGCTGTTCTCTTCCCAGGCAGGGCAACGTGAGCAGCCAGGCCATCCTGCCCACCTGGGTGCCCTTCAGGACCACGGTGTTCTCGGAGGAGAAGCTGGTTTTCTCCCTGCACCTGATGGAGGGTAAGCAAGGAGGGCTGGCAGGGGTGCTGGCCGGGAGAGCTCTGGCAGTCTCTCACTCATGGCTGTGCCCTTCAGAGAACTGGAGTGCTAAGAAGAGGTCCCCCACCTTCCAGCTGGGAGATATAGCCCACCTCCAGGCCGAAGTCCACACTGGCAGTCATGTGCCACTACGACTGTTTGTGGACCACTGTGTGGCCACACCAACGCCAGACCGGAACACCTCCCCATATCACACCATCGTGGACTTCCATGGGTGAGGGCTACGCTGCCTTTCTGGGGAACCCCCATAACATGACCCACACCATCTTCCTCACCTTCAACTCCACCACTTGTTCTCTTCAAAGGTGTCTCGTGGATGGCCTCTATGATGCCTCATCTGCTTTCAAAGCACCCAGACCTGGACCAGAGACCCTCCAGTTCACAGTGGACATGTTCCAGTTTGTTAATGACTCCAGAAACATGGTAATAGTTCTTTTATTACCCTTCAGTAAGAATGAACTTTAGGAGTCAAGCTGGTCAGACTTACTATCTACTGCTTTAGCTCACTCTGCCTCCATCCTAGTAACTCCACAAACTTACCAAGTAAATGAAGATTTTACTAGATCTTATAACTTTGAGAAGGCATGGCATTTGGTGACCAGGTAACTGAGCATGTCCTCACTAAGGTCAGCAGGACCAGAACCTAGTGGATGGTGGGTTGAGTAGAGGAGTTGACAAAAGCAGGTGTCAGCCTTCCTGGAAGCTTTCTAGAAGGGCAAAAGAGGTGAATATGAACTTATTTGCATACAGGGTAGCCTCTTAAACTTGATCATAGGTTAGAACAGTGACCTTTTGAAACATGAATACATCAGCATCACCTGGAGGGCTTACTGAACTAGATTGCTGGGCCCCACCTCCAGGGTCTGGTTCCATAGGTCTGGAGTAGAGCCTAGAACCTGCATTCCTAGAAAGTCTCCAATGGCTGCAGCTGCTCTGGGGGCTGCCTCTTGAACTAAACTTAAAAGCTTACTTAACTAAGGGGATGGAGAGGGTGGAAGCTAAGATGTAGACTGATCCTGATGCCTGAAGTATGGACAGATGGGGCAGGAAGCTCAGGTAGGACTGGCCGCTAGCCAGAGAGTGCTGGTAGAATCTTACAAGCAAATGGCTTTTAAATAAGTTTCCGGAGATAAGAGTCCACAGCGGTGGGGGTGCAGTATAAAGTGTGGAATAGCTAGTCAGGAGGGAGAAGTGATTAAAGCAGGAGTTTTCAACTCTGGCTCTATACTAATCACCTGGAAATATCAAACATACTGCTATTTGCATATAACCCCATACATTTTCACTTAATTGGGGTGGGGCCTGGCATCACCTTTTTCTACCATCTTATGAAAATCTACAAACATTAAGCTGAAAAATTTACAGAAAACACCTATGTACTTACCATCTAGATTCTACCACTAATATTTTCTGTGCCTTCTAGTCTATCTTGTTTTACTTGGAAATGCATCAAAAGCCACTTAAGCTCCCAGATGACTCTAACAAGCAGTCAGAGGCACAGTCTGGGCAACATTTGCAAACGGTGTGAATTTATAGAAGAGTACATCGATGCTCCCTCTCCTCACCTAGCAGTCCTGTTCTGAGAACAGAAGTAGTTTAATACAGACTAGTAGGAAGCAGAAACTGAAGCTGGAGAGATGTCCTAAAGCTTTTGATGGCAGGTCCTGGGTTGAATGGAGCTGGGGATAAAGGAACAGACTCAGAAAGGGTCCTGGCCCCACACTGAGACCTTGTGATTCATAGGGTAGAAGATCCCGTTTGCAGTAGGGAGTTGGTGTTGACTTCAGAAGTGGTCCAGTGGGGTGGATGGGGACGAGGTTTCAGACAGGTGGCCATTAGCATGGGGGAAACCTGAGATGGTATCTGCCTCTCCAGAGATTGGAGGGTAACTAAGAGATCAGAGGATGATGATCAGTGGAAGGTAGCCTGAACTCTGGAGTGGGGGCAGTTCTCTTTCATACGTAGGGAGAATGGCTGGCTGACTGGCCATGGCACCAAGGAGAAGGAATACCTTATTCAAGAGCAAATGGGAAACCACCTTAAGATCTTGGACCCCAGTGAGCATCAGAAAAATGTACTTAGAAGAAGTCGATAAAAACAGTTCCCTTCCTGGAATGAGGACTCCGAAGGACCTGGAACCCTTCTCTGGTGGTGCAGATAGAAAGCAAGTGGCTAGAAATGCATCCTGGCTTGTTTAAGTTTCCGAAATGATTTCCCTGCCTGTGTACTTGGCCACTAGGTGGTGACCAAGGTTTGTGGTTCTGCAGAAGGCTTCAGAGAAGGAGATGGAATTTCTACATTGTCTCAGGGTTGACTGGGTATTGCTTACTTTATGAAATGGGATTTCTTCCTGGGGATGCCTTTGTCAACAGGACCAGGGCTGACCTGATCCCTGGCTTTGTCAAAATTCCCCCTACCCTAGGTGGTCAGGGGGATATCGGTCCCTTTGGGCTTGATTCCTGGGCCTATTCCAGAGGTTCTGACTCAGTGGGCCTGGGTTGGACATACTAAGTGACTGGAAAAGTTTGGGAAAGACTGGGGCAATAAAGATGATGGGTTACAATTTAGAATTTAATTTGCTACCTGCCCTGACATTTTTTGACAAGTTAACCTCTGAACCTCTGTTGCCCCATCTCTAAAATGGGGCTCTTCCTTGTCTCCAAGAGTTAAGGGTTATGTAAGAATTGACTTATGAAAGTCACTGACACAGCCTAGAAGTCTACCTAGTAACAGCTGTCTTTACTTCCAGGTATATATCACCTGCCATCTGAAGGTCACCCTGGCCGACCAAGTCCCAGACCAGCTAAACAAAGCCTGCTCTTTCAGCAAATCCTCCAATAGGTGAGGAGACCAGATTGGACATGGCTGGGGTAGAAAACTTGATTGGCCATTCTCATGTCTATTCTCCCAACATGAACATCATCAGCAAACTGCTTCCTGCAGGCAACAGTCATCTAATCCCCCTGTCTTTCCCTCTTAGCTGGTCCCCAGTAGAAGGCACTGCTGATATCTGTCAATGCTGTAACAAGGGTAGCTGTGGCATTCCGGGTCGTTCCAGGAGGCTAGTGGGACAATCGCACAAGTCTGCTTCCCGCAGTCGCAGGCATGGTAGGTCTTAGGTTAGCCACAGGGCTATTGCCTTCCCCTCATTCTAGGGCACTTGCTGTCACTTTAAGGTGACATTCTTCTCCTTTGTCCCCCATTTAAGACTGCTTACCCCTGCGAGTGCAGTTTGGGGCTTTATTATTTAAAACCTAGTTCAGCCCACCGAGGCAGAGCAAAGTCACTAACCTGATTCCTGGTAAAGGACTAAAATGACCCTTGGATGTCTTGTCTTTCAGTGACAGAAGCAGCAGATGTCACAGTGGGGCCACTAATCTTCCTGGGAAAGGCCAGTGACCGTGGTGTGGAGGAGTCGACTTCTCTCACATCTGTGATGCTGGGGTTAGGCCTGGCAATGGTGGTATCCTTGACTCTGGCCACCATTGTCCTAGGTCTTGCCAGGAGGCGTCAGGCTGCTTCCCGCCCTGTGATGTACCCTGTGTATGCTTCCCAATAAAAGAAAGTAACCTTTGGGGTGTAGCGCAGTGACTAGAGATGGGAGTGAATTGGGAGTGGCGTGCATGAAGGCAATCTGTAAACAGTGCCACGGTTCAAATAGCACAATCTACGTACTGTGGAGCCTCTAGTGTGAATCTAGCTGTCTGTACAGTGGAGAGGCCAGACTGGATTGAAGGCAAGCCTGTATCTTCCTGGCTTTGAGCATCATGCAAGGCTCATCTTCCCAAGGGCCATTATGTCATGTCTCCAAGGAAGCGAAGATGAAAGCTGTTGAGGGCAAAAGTAGGGTGGACTCTGCTAGCTCTACTTCTAGGTTAGCAAAAAGCCTTGTGTGTCCCTAGGCCACATGCATCCGATTTAGGGGGCGAGGGAGAGGACTAAAGGGCTTCTAGCTACCTCACCTAGGGGCAGTGGGCAGAAAGCCACATGTTCACATGTCCGAGGCCTGAAGGCCAGAGGTGAATGGGTCTAGGGCAGTGGTCTGGGCAATGGTCACTTGAGCTTGAAACTGCTATAGAGGAGCACTTGTGAGGGTGTGAGTATGCTGTGGTGGACAAGTCACCAGCTCTAAGGTAGGTGCCTCAGGAGGGTGGGGCTTGCTTTGTGCTTCCTGTTGCTGAAGGGAGCCGCTTCTCTGCCTCTCACACCTTCATGCCACTCTCCCCTCATAGGCTGCCTTCCTCTCCCAGGCCCTGGCCACAGTCCCTGGGAGTGTCCAGCAAAGGAATAGTGCCCAGGGAACTTGTGGCCCCTTCCCCAGGGAGTGGGATCGTGCTTCCTCTGCTGAGGGCTATAAAGCCTCTCAGAATGGGCTGGTTCAACCTCACTCCAGACCCTACTCATTCGTTCTCGCTGGGTAAAGGTCACCTTCACTGTAGAAACTCAGCTTTGCTAGTTACCTGCTGTGCGTCCTTGGATCCTCAGGGGTAAAACAGGTGGTACCTGCTGGGCATAAACTGGTTGGAGTCAATAGGCACTTAAATGCTGCATCTTATGGTTCTGTCTCTGTGGCCTTGTGTCTGGCTGAGGTTAGGGGCTCATATATGTTGACACAGGCATAGAGGCAGATATCTAAGGTACATTCAGAGCAGGGTGTTGTGATTCTAGGTCTGAGAAGTACAGGAAGGCCCTTGACCTAGGTCCTTGCCCTTCCAAGTGATGTAGGACAGGGTGAATCACTCCCTCGAGTAGATTCAAGTCCTGCACCAAGAGAAAGGATTCTTGACAGAGCATAGGAAAGAACTCAAGGGCACGCCAGTTAGAGATAAAAAGAAAGGCAGAGAAGGGATGACACCGCATAGACAGTGTGGTCTCCTCTCAGAGACCTGAGAGGGACCCCAAGTATTTAGGGAACTTAGTTTATATATCATCCTTAGTTTCTATGAATTAGTTTAAAAACTTTGTTTACCTCTTTTGATGGTATGGGTATATAGTGTGAATGTAAGGGTTTGTAGTGTGACAAGAATGCGTAGTTAGCAAGAAAGCCTGCTAGCAATCCCCAGCTTTTGATCTATAGGCTCCCCATGGTTTTTGGCTGTAGGGAATGAATGTAGGG